CAGCGAGCTTTGTTTTAAACAAGACCTGTCTGTAACGGCGCCTACTTCGATCATGGAGGGTTGTTGAACTGTGCCACAGTAAATTGAACATGGTCGACACTAAAATTTTTGAATGCATCGGGGATTACTGGGGGGAAAGAACTGCTCCTGACGCAACAGTTGGAACACTTACGTCCGTAACACCTTGAGACGGATCACTTCCACGAGAAACATCTGGAAAAGCTCCCTTGTGGCAAATGAAAGTGATTAACAACTCCACTTAATAGGACGAAGGTGCATAATCATTGAAGGAGGTATTTACATCTGTTGAAGGAGTTTGTAGTGAGGTATCGCGTTGGCAGGAGGTGTGACGAGGCTAAAATGAAAATTTTGCATCACAAGGCCGCTTCTTCATCCACTGTGCGATGTTGATATTTGGCATCTCACCTCCGATCCGCACTTTGGTTTACTGCTTTGACCGCGGGAGGAAGTCGGACGACGCTAAAGTCAACAAAATGCCGGTCAGAATGTTGGAAAAATTGTATTTTTATCTGTATTCTTAAGAATTGCAAAATTCCAACCAACATTTTTCACACTACCTGTGATTCACACGACGATTGCAAGATTTCACAACAGCAGACACTCGTTGGTGGCTAGAGAGTTGGCAAAATACATTGTTTTAACGGCAAAATAGCTGATTTATTTAAAGAAAAGCACCTGCTTACCCCATTGTAATCCGCAGTATACCTCGGTGAACTCGTAGATGTTGCCGACTTCTGGGGGGGGGGGGGGGGGACGCAAAAAGTCAAAATGCAGGCACTCCAAGTTTATGCGATTTAAGGAGACGGTTTTTTAGGGTCTGCTTACATCTATGTAGAAGGTGGTTCCCGAGGTTGGGCCCTTCAGGCACGACCGTGTTGCTTGACTCTGTAGAAATTTTTTAATAGAAAATCTTTAACTCGTAATCATGATGCAACAATAAATGGATGAACTACTGATGAATTAAGTTGTGTCTCCTATGAAATAATAAAAGTAAAAGCTGAATTCAAGACAAGGTGACTTACACCATCCGATGATTTTGGACATGATGACGATACTTGATCCAACAATGACATCATCTAAAATGACAAATTGTCTACGTATTCTATCGAAATAACAATTAATAATTAATCAGTAGTATCACTCGTTAAAATGGAAACACGGAAAAATGCCCATTGTTTTTTAAACAGAAAGTGATTTGAGTAATCATTCTTTTAGTAAGTTATATTGGACGGACACTTACGCTTTTGCAGCACTCGTTCTAGAGTTTAAAAGAAAATATGGATAAACTTTTGTGGCGACAAGTTCCCATTAGTAATTAAATGGGAAAAACAATTTTACTCTACCTTTTTTATGGCTTTTTTGGCCGACTCATCAATCTAAAAGTTTAACAGGTATAATTACGCAGATTTTTACTTCCTGGATGTCTTTTTTATTCACTTCAAAAGTAACAAATTAGGCGAAACTTACGATTTCATAGTCCTGCAGAAGCGATTGGAAGTCGTTTAGCGCCTCATCGAATTCGCACTCCTCCATGCCTAGAGGGAAAATACAAAGTCGACCGAATTTTGAAACTGCTACTATTGAACCACAGCTAAATGAAGTGATCTTATACTACGAAATCATTCTAAATATGTTTTACAGCCTTTTGAATTTGATTTGAGATGAACAATTTGGGACAGTTAGTAGTTATCGTACACTAATAGATGATATCTGTCAAAGGTTTGTGATATTGGAGAGAAATGCACTGAAAGATGCATAAATAGACAGTTGGATGGGCTTACCTTCGTAGAGATACCAATAGTAAAAGGCCTTTCTATTTTTCAATGCAATGAAGTCGTTTCCAATTCCAGTAAGGGTGGATTTCACCAGAGTTCCATTGTAGAGAGCGGTAATGCAGATGGGAGTCGCAACCATTCCAGTGGCTTTTATAACTACCATTGGCTGTCGACAGCACCCAATCTGAATTTGATTAGTTGGAAATTTTTCCAGTTGTTTTATTGTTTAAGCTTATGTGCAATCAAATCGTCTTTTTTTCTCGAGAAGACACAATTTAAGACATTGTCTAATGGAAGTCGTTAATCTGTCTGTGTCACACTGGCCGGTGTCTAATTGGCCCAAGCTTTAAAACCACTACCCCTATTTGTGACTCGTAAGTCCCAAGGTCACTCACCTTATAGCCACACGGACTCCAGTCAGCGAACTTGAGCCTGCCCGATTGTTTCCATTCGTCAACTGCCGCATTAATGACTGACGGCGTTACATCTCCACGATAGAGCAGAGCACAGGAAAGCATCACGGAGTCTTCAATGGGAGATACACCCAATGCTAGCTGGAATCGGTCGGATAGGGCCTCTTGGAGAAGCAATTCAGCCGTCAATTCTAGAGGAAAAGCGAATACAGTAGCGGTGTAGAGCTATTTTTGGGTCTCTCAATTATTTATTTGAAAGCCTTTAGGCTCCAGACGGTGTCGTTGCATTCAAAACACTATCATCCCTACCCCAATGAAACAATATACAATCTTGCGAAGTCCACCTCCGTTCCCGCCACATGTTCATTTCTAAACTGTCTATTCGATCTTGTATGCCATCGTCAAGTCCCGAGAAAAGGTGTTGACAGTCACTTGGACAAATAGCAGAGGAATACGGAGAATAAGGTGGTACCCTTAAGCGCCAGTCTCCTTACAGGCAAAATTTTACGCTATGAAGTTTGCTACCTTGTACTACCTCCTAGAGACATGAGTTTCTTCCCGCTGCTTCACTAGTCATGACCGTTAGTGAAAAAGGATTTCCGCGCACGCCTTCGAGTGGAATTGAGGTGTTAGCTTTCGACAGGAAGCTCATTCACGATGAACCGCTGCTAGAACAAATACGGCCTTCTGAGGAAGAAACGGTGCTATGAGGAGTAAGTGGATCATTTGAGGCTAAATGATGGTGTGTTCGTTCCCATGACAAGTCTGTCAGTCAGTAAATAAGCCCAAAATGGTACATTTATAAAGTACATGAAAGAAGTATGGAAGAAATTGACGTCAAACCGGTTGACCCCTTATTTCTACTTTATCAGTTAATGTGGATACTTAATTATCCACTTTAAGCATTACCGATGTTATAAACCATGCCAACCCACCATAATCGTGTCAACAGCGACATGCAGTTCTCTAACCTGCTCAAAGCTGGGGATCTGCCTAAACATAAAGCATTCTTGAAATTGTTGTAATTACTTGATTTTGAGAGGTAATTTGTGTTGTTTCTACATCTCCTTCAAAAACTGTTTCATAAAAATAATTGACGAAGAGCTTCTGCTAATTTGTAACTGAGGTAAAATCGGTTTGAATCACACCTGCCAGGTCGGTAGAAAGGGCGAAACCGGGAGGGACCTCAATGAAGAGTATCCTATCGACGGTGAGCTGGCGCGCATCCACGCATGGTGGCAAACATTAAAATGCTCACTGACTCTTGAGATCACTGTACTTTCCATAGCCTTTTTTTGTGATTATTTCATGTTTAAACCTCCAGTCAAACGTTGTCTCAGATTTGATTGGTCATGCGGCATCCAATCATAATCACCTTTCAATATCCCATTCATGTTTTCTTAAAATATGGTTCGATAAACAGAATCAATAAGTTTAAAAGCCTACAAATCTTTTGACGACTAAAGTGTTTTGCAGAAAATGTGATTAAATGATTAATAAAAGTAGCTCTTTATTTATTTATTGGAACTTCTTAATCAGTAAATCGCCTTTCGCCAACTAACCAATGAAAATGCGCATCAGGACAGCATTGGCCAATCAAATTCCACTTCGAATAGCATTTACTGTAGAATGTGCTGCTTTTTAGTTACAAATCTGCCCTACTATTTGCAAAGAGTCTGTGTAAATTTTGCTAGCGACCTTTTCCTTGTAATTATTGGTTTACGAAGTGGGTGGAGGAACGACTAAAACCAGAGCAGGCTATGCCCGATGATGTTGAAAATTTACTCCCGTCCAAATGCTAATAAACCGGTCAACTTTCCGGAATTTATGAACTATTTATTAGGCTCACCTAAGTCACAAGGGATTTAAAGGCTTACCTTGGACAATCGGTAGTTTTACCATGCATTAACGCTGCAGCGGAGTATTTGTGCTCAAATATATGTGGTATCAAACAGCACTTCTCATCCCCTACCGATGCGTGGGCCTCTGCTGATAACCCCCTCAGGCTGTACTAACGCTGTTTCCAGATTAGTGCCCACAAAATACTCATAAGTTACAACAACTGTAGAGTACCATAACAGGGAACGTAATGTTAAGCTCCCTATCATCTTCTTATAAACAGGGTAATATTTCAAGTTAAAAACGCTTGTTTACCGTCAATCAGACACGTATAAGACGACTCACTTGTACTATCGTAGACAGCCGGACTCATCAGTGGGTAGAAGCTGCACATGAGGTAGTGCATACTTGGGTAAGGAATCAGATTTGTCTGTAATTCCACCAAACTTGATGTCAGTGAGGAGTAAAATCGAAATCCAGCCGTCAATCCACTATAAACCTACAAAAAAATTATTGAAACTTTCAGAAATATTCTCTTTTTATGGGTTATTTAATCACATCTCCAAAGGGGAATTCTAGAATTTGGGTCACTAAGCTTCGTTTTCCCTGATGAGTGGTTGGATTACTGAAATTATGATTGGATGGATGGACATGGAATGCATGGATGGATGGATGGTTGAATGGACGGGTGGGTGAGTGAATGGGTGAATGGATACAGGATGGATGGACGAATACGGAATTGATAGTTAAAAGGATATGGGGTTGATAGTTGGAGGGATCGGGAAGAATAGGGATGGATAGATCCAAAATATCCGGATGAACTAACGATCTATGGTTTTCAATGTGGTGAATACATCTACCAAAAGCCGCGTTCGAATCTTCAGCTTTATGGATTTACAAGTTGCGTGAAAGCTATTTATTGAGGTTGGCCCCGTTTAATGTAATAGATTAGTAGTTGTATCCCCAGAAATAAGGTATACCAAATTGAGGTGAGCAAGTCAGTAAATGCTTAATCTTCATGGCTTAACTGAAACGACTGCTCACCTGAGCAAGAAGTCTATTAATATGCGAATAGGTTACACAGGCCACGTTCAATTCACGCTCGTAAATGTCCATGATTGCACGATTTTGAAGGACCAGAGAGATGCAGTCGGGTTTGTACGGACTGGCAGCTCCGAGGACGGCATTGTAGGGCTCCAGGACGGAGAGGGCCTGGTCGTAATCAGGGTAGACACCGAGGTCCAATTTATTCGCTTTGGGATACTCCCCGTCTATCGTGTCATGAAGAGCTGGAATGAAGTGAGTAATTATTCCCTTCAACGTTTTTGAATGAGTCGCAAGGTAGATGAATGGATTGACTGACAGTAGCGGGATAAATGGGAAGGTCAAAGACGGAGCTAGTTTTAAAATGGAAGACGAGCAAGGGAGTGAAAAATGAACGAACCCATCAAAAGACCGGAGCCCGTTCCTCCTCCATACGAGTGGAAGAAGCAAACGCCCTCCAGCAAGTCGCAGGTCTCAGCAACCCGACGCAGCGTTGCGGCGAATCGAGGCGCGTGCTGTGAGGCGAGTTGATAGAACCCACGTGCGTAATTTCCCGCTCCATCCTCCGATCCACTTAGTAGACGTTGGGGATTGAAGAGGCTCCGGTAGACACCCGCTCTTATCTCGTCTGGAAGAATAACAAATATGTAAGCGTTCAATTCTAACAGGTTCTTTCGCTTTTACACACAATTGGATGTGTGGTAATGAACACATTTGTCTGTTAAGAAAGACATAAAGTTTACAGCGGAATTCTTAGTTCTCGGTACTTGATTTCTGATTGTCTTTGACATACTCAGAATTCCAAAGTTGATTTGTGTACTTATTCTAAGAAACATTATGCCTCCCGAGGAGGAGCCTTGATTGATCTTCGCATCTTGACAATTTCATTCTCCTTGTGTGAAGCTGTAAGGTCTACCAAGGCAAGAAGAATCCACGGTAGTCTTGTGGTCTGTAGTAGATGTCATTAAGTTATTTGTGTTTAAAATCGTCGAAGAATATGTAGTTTCCCAGTGAAAATACATCCTCTGTGGTTATGAGCAATATGAACACTTTTTGGGGATCAGATGTCGACATGCATGCCAAAACTCTTTAAGCAACTCTAGATTATGGTATTTTCCGATGTGGATCTCCAGAAAACTCCTTTAACAAACCCAGTTATTTATTGGTTTAAGGAAAACTGAAATATGGTTGAAGTTTTTTTTACTTAAAATGAATTTGAAAATAGGACTTTTTGGACTAAAATGATTTTAAATAGATCACTTATGAAGTCTCTTGATCTTCACAATTACGTGATTTCGGCCCGGATACCTACTGCCTCTGCCATTGGTTGCTTTTGAGGTCACTAGGCGCACAACTCACCAATCACAAGCGGCTCGGAGTCCATGATGACCGTGCGTGGTGAAAATCCACCTGATTCCGTCTCCTCAAAGAAGACATCGCGTCCCTCGTCCAAGTCATCTCCACTTTGACCCTCAAAACAGACGGGACAACCCTCAGGGTCTATACCGTGTTCGATGCAGAAGAGTTCCCAAAAAGCGCTGCTCATTTGCGACCCGCATTGACCCACAAAAACGTTGATGATTTGACCCTGTGAAGTTAAAAATGCTTGGAATATGACATGTTATTCTCTAGTTATTTAGACTGTTATTACCAGAAGGAGAGATTGAATACGAGCGAAACTGCTTGGTTTACAAAAACGCCAGGCTTATTTTCGGAGTCACTTCGGGACGGGGATGGGTGTTTCAAAATCTGCTACAGCGATTGAAAGAAATATATTTTATTTTCCTCTAGAATGTATGATTTTACTAGGAAGTGCATTTCCAGATTTATTGCATAAATTTGATGAGAATTGCAGTATCAGAGAAAAACACATTTTACTAGAATTTTGAAGAACGGAGTTTAAATGAATCCACTTTTTCGTCTCCGAAACCAAGTTGGCAATGGAATGTACTTCAATCAAGATTAAAAGAGACCACAATGATCCACAAATCATTCAAAATTCCTCTCTTAAAGTCCAAAAGCTCTATATTGTTATAAGCACCTTCGTTCAGTGGGCATTTCTGTCTTGGCGGGGCGACTTTGACAACAGAAGCTAAAAGGTGCCGATCAAATTTAGCCGGTTTATATAAGCTCATGTGTAACACTCTAGTTGTTTATCCCTCGGTTTTGGTACCGGCCCACTAAGGGTTTCCGCCACTGTGCCTTGGCCGGGCGGTCTGGCCTCTGAATCAAGACGGTAGCCCTCGAGCCCTACAGTTCGTCGGCAATACGTATTCCACCCGGAATTCATGTCCTCTTTCATATTTGGGGAAGTCTCGGAGCACTGTGCAGGCTTAACCCATGAAAAGCAATTTCCTGATACTCAACTCGCCTCATTCATAGGCATATTCACATAAATCTTTAACGTACACTTCATAATTCAAAAATAATTGAAATTAACGAAGTCACAATAGTAAACAAGAGCGTTTAAATAAGACAGTGAGAAACACATTTCTCCCTGTCCAGTACCAACTTTCTACTGTTGGAATGTATTTATTTGGATATTCAAACCTCAACGTCGACAGCTACCTCACTAGCGCAAACTAGATGAGAAGTAGCCCGAATTCACCCCAAAAAGTATTAATGCTTTTTCTCCATAATTCTGCATCTTTTCTTTGCCTTAAAAGTCTGGTTTCATCATGGTCACCGCATTAAGGATACCGTTTCCATACCTGGTTGATGGATTTAAGGACTATTTGGATGGTAGAAGATAATGAAATATAAAGCAAATTGCACTTAAGTATGAGCCATCGGAAAGGAATAGCAAAAAGGGAAAAATTTTACTAACCAACATGGCCGGAAGGATTTATCAGGAGCGAACACGTGCAAAAAATGAGAACCACAGCATGACATCGCGAAGGATCGATGACAAATGCATGACAAACGTGTGGCATGACATTTGTAAATTATTGCACTTTGTTCATGACCTCGTCAGGATAAGGCTTGCGAAAGTCGCAGGAGTTTGTCGCATTTCATTCGACTTCTAGATTACTGCTTCGGGAAGTACGCAGGGATTTCTGTACACAATGGGAAGATCCCAACTCCGAAATTTGGCAAAATGTGAACCATTCTTTTGATAAAAGGATTATTTGCATGAGATGCAAGAAAAACAGGGCAGCAATTTTTTAGAAGACCGACGAAGGAAGGAAATATTTTATGAGGAGAAATGACCTACTGAATCATTTCGACGGCTCTAGTTCCAGAGACATTTCACTTATAATGCCCTACTCGTCTGTTTAACTCTCGGTTTCTATAGCGGGCTAATTAAGTGCTCCCTCATTATACATCCGCTAAGCCATACGGCCTTCTGCCAGTAGCGCCTATTGCCCTCTGTAGGCCGGCAATATCCATTCGGCTCGAGTATTACACCTACTAACATCTTTAGAGAAGCCTCAGGGCGCTACTTACCATCATCGCTGAATAGTGTTTTGAAACAAGAAAAAGAGGGGGAACACACCGCAACAATGCGCATATGGGTACATATGCATAAAATAAAGATACTTGGTTTTTCGTAATGCTTACTGCTCAACCCGTTGGTGTAGGTATTTCTCCCTCGTAGTAGTGGTTTAATGCTTGCTGAGTGGTGTATGCCGCATTACAGACATTCAGACACCATATTGCTCATACGAGTACTAAAACTTGGTATCCATAACAATGACTTAAAAAATGTGAAATAAATGTTATCCCCAAAAAGCAAATGAATGAAAATATTTACATGCAAAATAATTACAAATAAAAAATTAAAACAAAAATTGTTCTAATTTTGTTTTTTTCTTAAATGCATAAAGTTGTGGTTCGTAAAATTCACAAATGCATATTGTTTATGTCCTCCGGAGGATAAGCCTCCGGTGACCGCCTCTTCCGAAAGTTGCTCCGACTTGATTATGACGGTTGTTGTTAGCATATAGTTCGTGGTTCGCTATGTCTTCAAGACAACAAATTACGCCGTCTAATGACAGCAGCCGCAATTCCTCCTCCAAAATACCTCGTGGGTTCCTCTTTGTAGAATTTTCTAAAGAATGATCGATTTACGCTGTTGTCTTGTTTTAGGCCTGCTGCGTCAGAACTCCAAGCTTGAGTCTTCCTCAGGTAATCGTTATAGGGACTTTACTTAAAAATGAAATATAAGAATGGGTAATCCGTCATTGCAGCAATTGTGCTACCTACTACAATCTGTTTTAGAACCCATTGTGTTAGTTCCAACTTTGTTTCGTTTTAAGGCAATGAATCGGTCCACGTGGATGCCGTGGATGCTGTTACTGGTGAACACAGAAGAATAATGTACAACAACTCCAGAGTTATTGGCAGTGGTTCCTTTGGGATGGTTTTTGTGGCTCTACTAGATGGTGAACGCGAGGTTGCGATCAAAAAGGTCCTCCAGGACAAGCGCTACAAGGTATAATCGTTGATAATTTAATTTGCGACTTTATGTGGTTATTTAACCTTTGAATTTTTGCCTCTAGAATCGGGAACTTCAAATACTTCGTGAACTCAGGCATCCTAACATTGTTTCACTCATCTACTACTTTTACTCCGTTGCAACTTCTGTGAGTTGAGTTGTTTGACAGTACTTCTTCCTTCTGCGCACAGTTGTTACAAGGTTACAGTTTATTAACACCTGGTGGATTCTGTAATTTACTAGGAAACTATTTCATCTGAAGTGGTAGGATCACCCAATTTTTCAGTGAGTTTCACTGACTTCCAGTGTTCTGCAAATTTTCCGACTTTGGTTCCTCGTTTCCTTATTCTATTGAGCTGTATCCTGAATTGCACATAAATGTAGATGTTTTTTAGCGGAAACCATCCTTGGAAGAAAAGTCGTCCTCTGAAAACATAAGCAGCTCTGTAAGCCGGTTTGTTCTATATTTCCCCGTTAAATTTGTGCGAGGTTCTTAAACTTTTTCTACTCACATGAAGTTAGACTCTGTTCGCAGGTCAAACAACTTGTTTTCTAAATTGAGTAAGAAATACTTGGTAGGTGCTGAAGCTTAATGGCAGATGCGAACATCTCATTTCACATTATAGTATTAATGCCATCGTGTTGTTATTTAGTTGTTGTTTTGAGTGCTTTTAGTCATCTATTGCAGAGCTTTTTGCCTTAATTCGTCGCCATCTTGAGAGTCTGTTTCTGTAACTATTAGTCGTTAGAAAATATGCGTTTTCATCCTTTCTATTCGAACGTTTTTTTACAACAAGAATCAGACTAATTATATCAATTTGCTTATAGAATTAATTTACTTATTGCTTGTTTTATTCATGGATTCACCAAGCTATTTGAGGACGAATTTTCGGATATCGTTGTTGCAGAACTTGAGGTGCGTATTGGTGTGATCGTAGCAAATGACTTCTCAGTAAACTTGTAGATCACAGCTATCTTAAGTAACAAAATTTAACGAATCAGTGCTTCAAATATATTTGGCTCAATGGCATTCCAACCGTTAGCCGTCCTCAAGGTGCTCATATTTGAGGAGGAACCAATGGGTGGTATGAATGTGAAGGTCCTTTGATCCTCCACGCCTAGGCAGGGTCGGTCCCACTGCTCGACAGCCGTCCCTAGTGTGTTGATGTATGCTTTCACATTGACTGTAAAATCTGCTGTTTACTTTTGTCGCTTTTAGCGACCCCCGACCGTCGTTAGGATTAAGTTTTCTCAGTAAGGCGTTACCCTTATTAGCTTCCAGTTTTGATAGGTTTCAGCCAATTGTAGTGCTAGGAATTACTCCCGCGTTTTGAGTGGTGGTGGCGTTATTGTTAGTACCATAATTGATCGGAGCTAGTCAATTAATGGGATTTATTTTGTGTGCTTTAGAAACCCAAGGACACCTATCTCAACCTCGTTCAAGAATACGTTCCTCAAGCTCTCAGTCGTGTCATCAAGCACTACTGGCACGTTCGACAATCCATTCCCATGAATTATGTCAAGGTTTGTTAGAATTTTCCATCAAAATATTTCTTTTTTGGAAACCTATTCTTCGTGCACAATTTAAATTCGCAAACAATTAATTTTCAGCTCTACGGCTTCCAAATGATCCGCGGTCTGGCCTACGTTCATAGCAAAAATATATGCCATCGAGACATTAAGCCTCAAAATCTTCTAGTTAATCCAGAAACTGGAGTTCTTAAAATTTGCGACTTTGGAAGGTGTGTTCCACTTTCCTACAAATTATAACAAATGCACCCCCTCCCCACAGCGACAAGCTATAAGTGGACGTTATTTTATCTCCTTAGTACAAAGGTGCTTGTTCCAGGTGAACCCAATGTCTCCTACATTTGTTCACGTTACTATCGGGCACCGGAGCTAATTTTTGGAGCTACTCAATACACCGTGAGAATAGGTGAGTCGCGTTTGCTACTTTTGCTGATTAGGCGACGCACTGTAGACATGTGGTCGGCTGGTTGCGTGATCGGTGAACTGCTCCTTGGACGTCCCCTGTTTCCGGGCGATTCGGGTGTAGATCAACTTGTGGAGATTATCAAAGTTCTGGGAACGCCGACTTTTGATCAAGTGAAGGAAATGAATCCACAGTACAGCAAATTTGTCTTCCCAGGAATTAAGTCCTGTCCGTGGGAGAAGGTAACGCCTATGCATTTAATGTTGTTCCTATTTTTTTTCCAACCACTATGGTAGTGTTGTATCATTAAAATTCTATAGCTTTGATTATATTTTAACGCGGCCAAAATTTCTGTCATTCAGTTATGTGGGTATATATACATCTTAATGGAATTTGATTGTTGAGTTAATCACTTTTTCGTCTTAGCCATTTCTGGTAATTTGTTCTCCTTTCCCTAATGGTCGAAATTCCTTGAGATGCGTCTTCCCGTTTACTAAAACCTGCTTAAATGCATTCAAGTGTTGATATCTGTCGCTTCTCCGTCCCCACAAACACACCTAGGCGTGGTCCAGTCTTGTTGAAATCATGTAGGTACCGTTTTCGATTTCGTCCAATGTAAAATAGTCTAGTGTGCCACGGGATTCCAAAATTAGTGAGAATAGTTATAAATGCCACTTCCATTCGGTATTGTCATTTGATCACACTTCCATAAGTCGGTTTCAATGTAGGAATTGCTGAAGTTCGATTAAATTTAATCTTGTAGAGCAATTCCAGCCTCCAGCTGTTTTATCAGGATTAGGTTTAATAGTAAGTCATGGAATTCATCCTTGTTTTTGAATGCCTAGCGCTCTTAGATTGCCGGACGTCTGCTGATTCATCTTTTTCTTGTTCCTTTTCCTTGAATTGGTTTACATCTTCTGATACGTTTAACTGAAATTTCCTGATCCTAACTTCACGAATAATCATCCATCTAGTATTGGTCTTTTAAAGTTCCTTAATTTCCCACTGATTCATATCCCATTTCGTCGTGTAAAACGGTCCGAAGTTCCACCTATTCCAGCTTGTGTCCACTCAATTTCATGTTTGAAATGGTTCTCCTACATCGTTGGTGTTTGGACCTACAACCATAGTTCTATTCAAATGGTGAGATCACGGTGGTTTTAATAGAATCTCTTCTCATTTTAATCATAGAACAGGGTAATAGTGGTCTCTGTAATTTTACCACTCGGACCCATTCCAATGTTGGAATGCCTGAAGTGCCTTTAATTCGCTCCTTTTATCCCAAAAGAAACAGTCTGCGTTGTTAAACATTCTTTGGTGAACTTGATAGTAGCCATTGTTGAAGTGGCTTTTCTTTCGTCTTCAGCTTATCACAAATCGTTCACAATGCGAGGATGCCTTTAATCTGCTACGTGCTTTGCTGGTCTACAGTCCATCCCAACGCCAGGCTGCTGTCGATGCAATGGCCTCACCATTTTTCCAACAAGTTTTTGCCTTATCCTCCTCCAACCACCCATCTGAGTCCTCCTCCCTAACTGGACTACAACCCATTGAACCCTTCAGTGAAGAAGGTGAATTCTTGATTTCTACTGGAATTCCTAAAGACATCATGAATTCAGGGCATCTCGTTCCTGAGGCCTCACTTTTATGCTCTGAAATGAATAGGTGTAGATTAATTTTCTCGAATGTTGGAATGCCTGAGGTTATGTTGTTGTAGATGTCAATTTTGTAGAGCTGCGAATGCACTGCATTGTTCCCAGAACTACGTTATTTCATTCCGAGATTTTGGCGAATTTATTCCACAATCCAGAGACGAGTTGAGACGCCAGTCTAACGTTGGCACTGTAGCCTCCAGTGCTTCCCTCTCATTTTAGCTCCTCAAATCATGAAGCATCAGTTAGAAAAACCCAATTTTATTCAAGCTTGCCAAGTTTAGGAACTGAATTGATGTTGCGTCATGTTTGGAAGGTTTCCTTCTTGATTTGAATAGGAAATCATGTGTCGTTATGGGTTAGGGTAAATCGAAATCGACGTGTCAAGAACAACGTGTAGTGGATGGTGTTGGCATTGTGCACACATCGGTTGGGAAGGCGGTCGTGAGAGATAAGTGCTGGGGAAAACAATCTCTTTTCATCGATGGGACTATTTGAGAATTCCTAGAATGGAATAGGAGGCTGTTCTGACATTGAAATGACGAATCTTTCCAACCCCTGGAAGGTCTAGAGCTGTTGCCGTTTGCAGGACAAAGAGATTCGATTTCGATCCATTCTAGATATGGGTAGATCAACTCTAGGGTTGGAATATGTGGAGCTGTGTTGTCTCCTGCCATAAATCGGGAAGATATCGATGGTGCATTCCATTGTCGGAATATCTGGAATTTTATTGTACACCTTAAATCGATTGCATGTTGGCAGACATTCTCCAATATTGAAATGTCTCGAGTTTTCCCACAGTAAATCGACTAAGTGTCGACGTGTTCATTCTTGTGCTGGAAATTGGATACTCTGGATAGAGTGCGCTGGGAGCACGGATCGGCCGTGATTCCAATTAGAGCAGTCAAAGGTGAAGACCTCAGAATCACGCTCTTTGCTGGTGATAATCCGTGTACACTCGACAGCCTTGACCTTAAGGTGAATGAAAGTACATGTGGAACGTGTCTTCATGTGGCATTGGCCAATCAGGGACAAATCAATTGTGAAATATTCAAAAATGGTTGAAAGGAGGGGAATAGACTCTTGAATAGGAACTTCTAGAAAGCCTAGGATCGTGCACTCCCGGCCAACAGACTAGACACAGATACTGTTAATTCTTCCTTTATTTGCATCTCTTTAGAACTCGCTTACCTTCCTGCCACCTTGGTGGACACTATTCGACGCTCAGGTCTGACACTTTCTTCCAATAACCACTCCACTGTCTCCGCTCCAGCTGCAACTGCTGCCAGCACATCCACATATCGATACAGTCGTCGTGGCTCCTCAACTTAACGCTTCCTCCCACTCCTCGCCTATACATATGCTAACTGCTGTTTCACCACCCCAACTAGACCACCCTGTATGTGTGTGTGTGGCTGGAGGTTGCATTTCCGTACACTCCGCGTATCTGTATAAATTCCTCCTCCGCCCATTCATTCGTTCATTCACTTTTTTTTGCATTCACTCATTCGCATGCGCTGATTCGCGGTTGATTGTATAGCCACCAGCGTCGCCTTCATGACACACACGCAGACACACCATCATCAGTACTGCGGATGTTGCTGTTTTTAAATTCACATTGTTCTTTTGTCCTTCTCCATCCTCGCCCCACTTTCACCTCTCCCAGCGTAAAAATGGCTTTAATTTAACTCCTTTTTTTTTTCGTCTCGGAAAGGTGAAATTGATGCTCAGTTTGTTTCCCTCCCACATCCTCTCTCTCTCTGTGTGTGTGTATGTGTGTACCTTTTCGAATTCCTATCAAGTGGATTGAATTCTGGATCAGTAAAGGTAGTCGTGCTGAATGAATGGGGAGACGGATCCCGGATGGATGGATAGATCGGAAATGGGTGTGCGGGTGAATTGTGCTTGGGTGTATGGATCGAGGCTAAATTCCAGGATAAATGGGTTGATCCTAGAACTGTCGATTGCTGAATGGATGAATTTGGGAGGGAGAAATTGGTTGACCTTGAGTAAGCGGGTGAATGTGTGCCGGTAGGGCGATAGATGATGAGTGCAAGTGGGATCTCGAGGTTCATGTGTTACCTCTACGTCGTCATTTCTTCGATTTAATTGTGATTGGATTTTGAAGGTCCAGGTGGATGGATGAGTGCATGAGCGAGCGGACGTATGTTGGTTGGATAGTGGCTGGGCTACCGCCCGTACCCGTAGGTGAAGGTGGACCGTGTGGGTTGGATGACTATGCTTCCTTGTTATATTCTATTATTACTCAAATTTACTGAAGGCTCGTTCAAGTGACTTAAACTGTAGTTCGGTGATGTCACTGGGATTCGATTGCCTGGATGGGGAGGCGAGGTCATTTAATAATTTTGTGCGATTTGCATAAAAAGGTTAAGTAATCGAAGAGAGCTTTCCCTAAGTATTTATTAGTAAAATAATTACCAATGTAATGCACGTGCCCTTCCTAACGAGATACGAACTTGTGGTGAACCACGCTTGCGTAGTGTTTTGTTGCTGGAATCAAACCATTGCAGTTCGTGCTACCCCCGCTTCCACCTCACTTTCACCTCCCACCTTGCTATTCAGTTTTTGTATGATTGCCTGATGCCAAGAAAAGGCGATACAAACACACGAAGGGGTATAAAAAAGATACGTGGGATGTGAGATGAGGTGAGCTGAGGCACTATCCTCCTTCCATCCTCACACGTATCTACTTTGCGCTGTTTTCTGAAAGCAGGACTTCAGTCGCATTTGTGGGCTCATCTTGGTTCTTTTTAATGAAGTTTGGCCTGGAGACGCTACACTTGTATCGAGATTTGTGGGGTAGTATTCACTCCATAATTATCCGCCTTCGAGGAAGCTAACAAATGATAGTGAGCGACTGCCTTTGGTCCACTCCCTCCTGGCAGTCGCTATCAATATAAACGTTTTACTTATCTTTTGTAAGTAAAAGTATTATTTTGTCGAAAATTCGGGAGTCCATACACCTCTGCCGAAGTGGGTTGAAATGAGGTGACGACGTATCTGATGAGTTCCCACTTTTAATTTTGACAAAAATTGAGAATACTTTCTTAACTTCTCTCTCGTTCCTTAACACGGAACAGCAAGTGTTTTTATCTGCACCTGTCTGTATATAAACAATTTTTGTTACTACCAGGTAGTTATGGCATCAATAGGACCTTCTCTTATAAGAATTTGAGGCAAATTTCAATTCCACATGTCTCAATAAATATTCAGGAAGTCATTAACTTGACATTTCTATGAATGCACTGGTTGCCAAGCGGTGTGAGTTGATGGAAGAGCATCTAGGAAACTACATCTTGGGAAATGAGTTGGTAGAAATGAAGACCCACGGATATACATTTAAAAGAGGGAAACTAAGTAAACAATTTTTTGGTATGTTTTTGAGAGATTGATTATGCCTGGAACATTGAGTATATCTCGCTGTCCTCTGTTAAACTCTAAGGAGAATGGACCAGTTATTCCGGAAAAGATGGTTTTAGCGTTTCCCTTAAATGCGGTTAAATTTAAAAATCTACCTGGAATGGATGAAGGTAAGGTTCGGGTCTGTAGACTGTCCAAGTTGACAGAGCGATATTTGTTTTGCCCGGATAATTATATAATCAGCTTGCCAATTCCTCTTCTAGACGTCTAATGAACTACCTTTCACACTTGACACATCAAATTACGCCTTGAGGATAATTCGGGACCCAACATTAGTGCAAACAATAGGCCATCAAAAATAAAGCAGATATAGAGGAATGGGTGGATGGATGGATACAGGACGAATGGATGGTTGAATGGACACAGGACGGATGGATGGATGATTACAGGATGAATGGATAGATAAATGGACAAATAAATGAAGATAAGGATGGAAGGATCGATGGATGGATGAATACAGAATGAGTGGATGGGCGGACAGGCGGATAGAGGGGTGGATAAATAGATAAAAGGACAGATGGATGGATATGTGATGGGTTGATGAATACGGGGTGGATGGATGAATCGATGAAAGCGAAATGGATAGATAAATGGATACTAGATGGGTTGATAGAGAGATAGACGGATGGGCAAATAGATGAACAGATGGATGGGTGAGAAGATGGGCACTGGTGGGATGTGTGGGTAGAACACCCACAGATCACTGAGTGAAGGTGCCCTCTGGGGATTCCTGAAAGGCTATTAAAACCTCATTTACCGTTGTCACATATCTCAAGATCAAGTTCTGCTTGCCACTCAGTATTGATGAAAGACTAGACTGGAATAAGACGAAAGCGTATCTTGTTGCCGATGTAGGGGGTTTATACTACGGGCGCGCTATTTCTCATTTGGAATTTAATTCAAGCAGTTGCTATTCCATACCACGATTGTGGATCACTAACTTTGCTATCACACGTTTTACTGTCAGATTAAAAGTTCTTCGCCTTAAAGTGAAGCTGCTAAAGAGAATAGTGGACCTCAAAATTCGATCATTTCCTATCAATAGCATAAGCCCCATTTGAATGTCTACGCACTCGCCACCTTCTATACTTTAATTGCATCTAACACCGTGTTCTCAACCCACGTCTAATCACGTATTCATTCATTCACTCGCTCACTCATCCACCGCAACTATAAAGTCGAGCAGATTGAACAACCGGACGCCACAGTTGGCGTTGGTAATTAATCCACCGCCACCATATCACGGAGCGTCTATGGTCTCATTAAAATGCAGGCGATTTCATGGCAAAACCACCGCCTGCTTCTTCACTCAAACGCGTGAGTCGTCACCCTCCGCTTCGGTATCGCTCCACCGACTGGCGCGCATTTTCACCACCGAAAAAAATCAATACGCCCCGTGAGTCATTGTTTCTTGACCAAAAATCGATGCTTTACGTGAGTCATGGCTCCGATAGTCCTTGAAGCCTTCGTCTCATGATTGAAAAGATTAAATGGTGAAATAGAAAAAAGGACATAATTTTAAGATGTTTGAAGGCTGAGGATGATATAAAAACGTTTTCTTTTGTATCTTTCAACAAAAAATATGCAATGGCGTTGCATTAATACTAATAACGATTGTCTATTTCATTTACTTATTTCATAAACATTTAGCCGAAATCTGCAACAATGTGCCTCGTCAATTACCATTGACAGAATGTTTAACATCTAGGCAAAAAAATTTCTTGCCAGGAGGCCTTGAAATAACTCAACAATATAAGCAAACAAAGGCTCTTCAAAAGTAACAAGTTTAGTTGAACGCTGTATTCTACTTTAAACGAGAGGAGAACTACCATCGGTGGTAGAATGACGTCATCAAAACGGTGTGAGACATATCGATTACTAATCAGAAATATCGTACGTCCATTGAGTTGTCTTCAAAACAAAAAATCGATATTCCTTTCACACACCCTTTACTCACCCTGACCACCGTAAGCGCACTGCTTCTTACCACTCAGAATGGGGCCAATTTGAAGTTTTGAAATGCAGAAATAAGAACTTTCATCTTTCCAGTCAAATAGAACCATATTTCTGAGATCCACCGACTACGTATTCATCCATTCTTACTTTTTAGATTAATTGCAAATCAAATTCGATTAACTATGCATCGCTCTCACTTTAAAAATGGAAATCCCCCTCAGAGGTATCTTTTAGCTTGTAGCTTGTCCTTCAGTCAACTGCCAGTTCTGTTGTGCAATGTTTACTTGAAAACCGACCAGTCAACGCCTTTTTTAGATTATGAGCTTAACTACAATAAACGTGTTACGCGTCTCGACTGGCTCATCAAAAGGCATCCTAGAAGCTTCGAAACTGCAGATTTTACGCGGGGTAGTCATCGACACTACTCAACATTTTCTGCCCCGACGTCGACACGACAAACGAATGATCGTTCCAAGATTGAATGCTCTAACTTTAAGTGTGATGGTTATAAAAGAAGATATCTAGACCTTCGGAGATACCACTGTTTCCAAATACTGGGTCTTAAAAAAAAAACACAAACAACTAATCACCTCAAAGTGTTAATCCTCAGTACACAAACAATCAAATTTACGGCCAACCAATATCGAAACCTGGTTGGTTGGTAGTGGACCAATCATCGCCCAAATTGACAATGGCATGAACTGTACGCCCTCAGAGCTGATTATAGGTGCGGATGGACACCGAGGTGCCGCGACCAAAGTATCTACACAACGTTCAACACCTTCCAACCTCACCCAGCCGAGATGAGGAGGCGAAACGCACACGGTATCGCAAATTCTTGAAAATCCGGACTCTCGTCTTCTTCGCCCTTGCGGTCTGTTTCCTTTCCTTGGGCATCTTCCTCCTGGTTAGGTACAATCAGCCCAACGGGTAAGCAGGTGACTGGTGCTTCTACCTATCCACGTAATATCATTTAGTAAAAAAACTGATCACTTAGCAAATTCACGGTTAGCACAGTCCATGACCCAGATTTGTAGTTTTTAAGTGAAGCCTTCAAACAAGAAGGCGTGCTACACTTGACTTTTGGCTATTAACCAAGAGCCAAGATTGGATGTTACTATTTTGTTGCATTCCAGGCTGACCTATCAAGCAGCAATTCTCTTAGTCCTTTACAACGACGATACATGGGCTTCCACGGGGTTAGTTCGCAGTCGCCCTAACGGTTAATCCGCACTCAGCACTGCTTTCAAATTGAAGCACGCCTGTTTGATCCGTTAAAAGGCATTTTGGGGAGATGTCATTCGTTTGCTGTACACCAGTGACAGTACCAAAGCGGGGCAAGAGGACACACAGGTCTATAAGTTCATTTTAACATAGTTGGGTTAGTGGATGCAAAAGGTTTATAGCTTCAAACGTGGTTAAAAACTCCTCAAACACTGAACGTAAATTGTAATATTACATCAAAGAAGTGTCTACTTTTCTGACTTGGAACAAGTTCCTTGAATTAACTAAGTAGGTGATTAAATCCCCGTGTGACTTTTCTAGGTGTAATTAGCATTTTTATGTGAATAACTTCTTCAAACAATAGACCAATTTAAAGAGCATTGTGTGTAGGCTTTCTCATTTGGAATTGCTTAAAGATTGGCGAAAACTACGATATCAGGTAATCAGAATTGACTCACCGGTGAGGATCTGGTTACTGAAAAAAAAGACATTCTACTTTTGGTGGATCTAACAAACATCAGCTAATAGTCGGCTGTTATTCTTCGCAAGCTTGTCTCTCTTCGAAAAAAATAGATCAAGCGTCGCTCGCTCCTGTGGCATCCTCTTCACGGTACTCGGTGTCGCTTTCGCCATTACCACCTCCGTCTACTGTCCAACATTCATCAAACTCATTGCTTCTCGATCTGGATCAGTCATTTATCATCCCAAGAGCGCTGAGGCTCTAACAAAAGTAAGTAATGCTCGCGGCTGCGTTGAGAGCAGTCACCATTTGTATTACATCCAAGTATATCTGAGAGCGCTTCAAGGTCTGTGAATTTGAAAGAAGCTTTGTAACTTGCATATGAAAGAGGGGGGAGGCTAAAATTTAGGCGAAGATTAAAGCAAAGAAATGACTGGCGTCGAAGAGCTCTGCAACGCATGTCACAATAAAATGTTCCCATCACGTGCCGTTTTTTAAGAATAATCACCCTTAAACTGCTATTTATTTAAATTAAGTAGCGGGTTTATTATGACACATCCACATAACTTGATGTGACTTTTAAATCCAGAAATGGCATACCTCAAATACTCGACATTTACGGACTTAATATTACGCGTATCAATTCAGCCAAGTAAAAAGTTTTATTCAAATCAACGCATTAACAAATATCTAAAGTCACAAAAATTACTTTTCATTCCGTGCAGATGAGGTATCCAAGGCATAAAGTGGAGAAGATGCCACCAATTCCACCAACAATGGCGACGATGGGGCTGCCCCGAGTCCTTCCACCAGCTCCATTTCCTACAGGCGTGTTTGTTGAACCCTCGGCACCACCACCTTACAGTGAAGTGGAGAAGATGCAATATTGAAAATGCGAATTCGGTGGTGTCTAAGCAATCTAATCGCCGATTCATCATTAACTCCAATTTATACTTTCCATCGGTTGAATGTCCTTTTTTTCTAGTTTAATCAAATAATTTCGGGAGGCGTCTCTGTTTTGTGTTAATTACTATAATTAAATGATAAAAAACGAAGTAATTATCAACAGGGATGAAACGACGAAAAAATGCATCGACTTTGATTGAACAATTCAAAATGAGCACGTTAAGGATGCTTTAGTAGCACTGACCGTGAGTGATTAGGCGACCTGCTAGCCTTATAAAAGAACTTCACCATGGAAACGAAGTAAATAGATCTCACTTACACGCGAGAGATGACACCGTTAGGCGTCAAAGTCAGTCAATTTGTTCTGCACTCCCTTTACGTGCGCTAAGAAGCACTCTGAGACAAGGCGGCTTTTGGAATCCATACTGTTGAGGAGGGCATCAACGCGCCAATGGTTATTCTAAAACGAATCTTCCACCCCCCCCGACCACGTCAAAACACCTTCAATCGCTCTGGATGGATAGATTAGTCAATCAGTGGGGGGAAAATCCTGTTTTATAAGTCAACGCAAGGTGTCATGCATCATGAGAAATTGGAGTTGTGAAAAAAAATTGCACTTCAGGACGGTAGTCAGGCATTGCTTATCCTCCATACTCCAAGATCCGCCCTATCTACTGTTAGTACGCGACCTTCGCATCCGAATAATCGCACACGAAATCGGTAGATAGGAGGTTAAGGGGTGATGTACAAAGAGAGGTGGCCAGAGCCGGGTTTGATTTTTTGCCTCTAGGAACAACTTGCAGATATGAATTTTCTTGGAATGTATGTATACAGTGTAATGACGATTATTTTAACGAATAAAGGATTGCAAGAAGTTTCCATTCTAGGTTACATTAGATTATAAAATTGAAATATCTAGAAGGTGGTCAGCAGAAATGTCACCTTATTCAGGAGGTTTTATAGGATTTTGGACTAGTGCAATGCTTAAATGCCGGTCTCCTGTTTTGAATTAAAAGCAAAAATGAGACAGGAAGGCGGCTTGTCTAACAATGAATTATCACCACAGTGACGTTCCTGAATTTGAATGGCCGTTGAGAATCGCGCAGATTTCAATGGCTTATCACACGTCATCCCGTTTTACGAAAAAAGCATTACTCAACCTCGGTCCATTCAGTATCCAGGACAAATGCTCTTCTCTTCTGGAAGTATCAGCAACAGAAGCACATTACGATGCTTGTACACACACTCGTTTAACAACACACTCTTTCAGCCTCCGTGGGATTCCAAGAAGGCAAAAAAGGCATCAAACTTGACTTCTGGTAAATCCTATAACCCATCAGCTCTGCTGTACGCTAATAACTAACCCTCCTTCCACATTGGTGTGCTCCATAATGACCTTGAGGAAGACTTCAGGTGTTTTCCTTCTAGGGATGGGAATAATGAGTAGGCTTGCTATTTGGCCGTGCAAGAACGGAAGATTGATATCTTTCTAATAAAGTCAAAGTACCATCCTTAAATCGTTCCAAACATGATGACCTAAATGCTTACCTAGATTAAAAAGGATAGCATTTAGTTGGTCCTATGCTCACCAGTATCCAGTTCTCAAGTGTTTACAATGAGGTGATAGTCTACTGAAAACAGTATAAGTAGGCGTCGAGCTCTCAAGACTACAATTATTACGATGCCCAGAACGTTAGGCCAACGGCAGATTAGGAGGGAAGTAGTAATGGTAACAATAAACACTTCAAAAACCAAAAGAGTTTGTGTGGACAAACAGGAAGGAAGGATAAAACCAACACAATTTTAATAGAGTAGTCTTCATCGGAATAGACAAAAAAATCTGACGGTGAATGTAAGGAACGCCCCTACGGGTAAGCGTGGTCCAATCAATTGTCACATTAAAGGGTGCACAAACTAAAACTTAGAGTCTTTGCCCTATATACTCCAGACAACTTAGGGGCAATTAGCTGGATACCATTGCAGAAATAATAGTTTATTTACTTTTTGGAGGAAGGGTAAAGTTAGGCTTCCATACATTTCCATATCCCTAAGTCCCCTTCATATTAAAAGATTAATTAAATGATGGTACACTTTACCAGAGCATCAGTGGAATCATTATCTTGGCTTCCTCCAATCTATGGAGTTGTCTCATTTGAGCCCTTGGTGTTAACGGTATTAGAGGGACGATAAGAGAGGTAGTAATGACAGTGAGAGGTCAAGTAAAGCGCACACGCCTTCCCCCCAAACTTGCCTGGGTTGCTTTTGCTTTGCTTTGCCTCATGTTCGATGAAGTCACTAAAAATAAATACTTACATTTTTTGAGAGAGAAAGATGTAAAACCCAACTTTCTCAGTGTGGCTCAATTAGACCCATCTTTGGGCGGATTCGATTCAAAATCACGACTCCCAATGCTAAAAACCAAAAAAAGCATTTGAAAGCATTTAAATTAAAGGCTAAACGCTCTAGTACTACACGGGCCAAAACATTAAGCATTTCACATAACAGATACACAACTAACTTCAATGTGTGTGAAACTTTCCAAAGAGAGCATAAAAGTACTATGGGAATACTTTGATGATTAAGTGACCCCCTCACAAAAGTGCAGGGAATCCTTACATCAAAACGCAAATATTGGAGACGATTAAGGAACCAGGAAGCGATAGCGTTACATTTTATGCGACCAAAACGCTTTTAAGCAATTAAGCGCATTAAAGGTGCGAAACGATCGCAAGTTGCACTCATTTTGAAGCTGAATTTGAAACCACCGTAGGAAAATAGATTCACCAGTGAATTCTAAATTTTGGCATTTTCTAAACTTAGTAGACGTTAGCAGAAGCCTTCAGTGGACGGCACGCAGCCCCTCGGAGATTCAAAGGCGGTTTCCCCAAAGAAAAACCAGAATATCAATTTTCTTCATTAAAAGTTGAACCAGGAACTGGCCAATTTGGCGGGATATGGGGCGGCAAGTACTAAACCTGACGCCTTTAAAAATGGCATTCTAACACCACCCTTATATCAGCTGTCAACCTTTCGTGAATAAGCAATACGTCCAAGACTTCTACTAGAAATTGTAAAAGCCTTTTGAAGACTAATTTCGCTATGTCAAACAGATGCTTGCTTTTCCAGACGGAAAGAAATGCCAATCAGCATTTCTGCAAATAGTTATTCCTTATCACGTGCGGAAGACACGCTGATTAAATAAATATAGCATTCATAACTTTTCCATGACTACTTTGCTGTCCACATTTAATGCAGGAATTGGGCACTTCAACATATCAACATATTCGAAACGAAATTCAAATATGTTCTATTGACATCTTTCCCTTTTGCTAATACTATATCTCAAACGTGTTTCAGCTTTTGATTTGGTTGTATTAGTTTAGCAGTGTAAAAACCTCTTACAGGTCATATTACACCACAAAATGATTGGTAAAAGTGTTGTTTTTGTCAGAAAGTAAACATACATCGATCAAATTGGCGAAAGTCACATTAGGCAAGGAACACAAGTGACTTATAAAGGAGAGCAATATTGGCAACGCGGGGGTCTACAAAGAAGAAAAACGAAATGAAATGAGAATCTTAAAATAAACGCACCACGAATCAAGGATTCCATACTTCACATACTACACATCTACTTCCCCTTTTCTAGTAACACGTCCTTAAATTGACCACATATTTTATTTACATTTGATATACTTTTAATACAACCCTCTTTCGAAAGTAATTTGATTAATAACGAGCCAATTAAAGTGCCGCATCCCCAAGCTAAATTCGTATTTGTTCTGATGGTAGCCAATAGAAAACCAGGCCTAACCAACCAATAGAAAAGCGATGCGAGCCAGATCTGAGAAAGTGTAACAAAGTGGAATCCCCGACAGTGGAAACAGAAAAAAAACTGCGGGAAGTACGAGAGCCAAAATATTTATTTTGCAAATCACACACAGGGATGCGCAGAAGCGATCAACAGAACTTACAATATACAAGGACCGGGTAAGACGGGAGCAAAACACTGTCCGAGTGGATCAGAGAAATCAACCTAGTAAAGGAATGCAAGAGAAAAGTAAATTTAGAGGTAGAAATGTGAATGAGGTGACTTGCCATCATTAAAATTTCGCGTCAATTGAGTTTGATGGAATTGGATAGAAACTAAATGAAATTTTTATGCATGTCAATTAGTAGATCCAGTTTTGAGAGCGGTGGATAATCCCCTCCCACCCCTCCCCGACAAATCCAACGAGAGGATTTCCCCATATCTTTGCAAGCGCATTAACCAGTGGGGAGTGGGTATCTAGATTTTCAAACTAAAATTCCTCGATGTTTCAAAGGACGATTTTCGATTAGAGAGTGCAGCTAATGGACAGCAAGAGAGAAGAAAGTTCCAGAGCGGAAAAAAAATTTAGAAAAGTCCAATAATAAATCCCACACTTGGCACTAAGGGATAAGGAGGATTTCGGAGACAATGGCGCGAATTCTCGAGGCTGCCGAGATCGACGTGGGACTGACTCACCGCCAATTCTTCACGAAACGGGTAGTTGGTATTCCAGAGTGAAAAATAAAACCAATTTCGTGCATTTTATTGCCACTTGCCAATTATAGCCTTCTAAGGTTAGGCGAGACCTTCGATCGGCCAGAACGGCGAGGCCGACAATGGAATACATCTACTTCGACGTAAATTTGCGATCAAAGCGCCACCCATGGTTGGGAGGAAGGGGGGAAGAAGTAATAAATCCGGAGCCGCGCTAAAGCTCAGAAGGGATCAGTGATGAACCCCACACTTGGAACTGAGGGATTAAACAGAGTTTCCACAAAACAGTGGGAACTCTCAAGCCTGCCGAGATCGACATGAGATACATCACCGACGCATCTTGAAACTGGTAGTAGTCAAACGCTGGATGCGTTTTGGGCATACTGTTGCCACCTGCAAATGGTATTCGTCTGAAGTTGGAAAAGACCATCGATCGGTCGTAACGGAGAAGCGAACAATGGAATAAATCTACTACGACCTGAAATTGCGATCAAAGAGCACAGAGCGGCGCGAAGGCTCAAAAGGGATCGACCGAGGGATTAGTGTGTAAAAAAAACCGGGCGAACTCTCACTACGGATTCAACACGAAAGAGGTAGTTAAAGTAGTCGAACACAGAATGCGTCCAGGAGTTGGGTAATGGGGAAAATACAATGAATTTTGCACATCCTATCGCCACTTGCTAATCATCGCCTCCGAAAGCTGGAAAAAACACCATCAATCAATCCGTCGGCAGTGAGAAATTAACAATGGAAAAGAAAGCAGCGTTGAGAGGGGTTTGAAGTGCTTCGACGGAAATTGTCAAAACGTGTCACCTTGGAAGATGTCAACCACTTCACTAACAATACTGCCACGTTTTATTGCAAGTAGTACTAGCAAAACGAAAATCCGCAACTTTTTTTCCCCGGAAAATTTCATATTTTTATACGAATGCACTGAGTACCCACTTAAACCCCCAAAAAATATGAGCAAGGCTTTTTGAAAAAGTAATAAAATTATCTTCAAGCAGACAAAACCTACCCTACGGCATTGTGGAACTGTTAGAGCACACAAGAGTTCCAAATGTTCAAGAAATACAAGATGCTGCCTGATAGCTAGCAAACTCCCCAAATTTCAAAAAACCTAAAATATGATTAAATTCCTCCTTCAAAAAATCATCCCAAAGAAGTACTTCACAATCGCGGAGCAATAGGTGATGAAAAAGCTAAAATTCGTACTTAAAAATGATCTACGTATCTATTGAATTAAGCATAACAGCCTTCCCAAGTGACGTAATTTTACACTTTGACGCCTTGAAAGCCCTCGCCACAGAAACAAATGGGGTAAGTGTTTTGAAAGGAAAAAAACTTTACACTAAGGAGACTGCAAATGGTGTGCAGCTGAAGGAAGACCCTACTGACAAGGAAAATTATACATTGTTAGAATAGAGACAAGACTCTCGAACATGGACCGCCGTCCCACCGAATAAGTGGACTAGTAATGGTTTCTTCCAAAAAAATAGAACTAATTTAGGATGAGGAGCAAACTGATGCAAAAGAAACTGAAGCAAGAGCCCTTGCAAACAAGTGATGCAATTTAGGCGATACCCCTAGCCACTACATTTAAGTACCAAGTACTGAACTAAGCCCTAGCTTTTGCTCAATCTACGAAGCCCCGGATAGCCAACATCAAAAGCGCGAAAAGTACACTTGACACATAAATGGCAGGACCACAGATACAGCTCTTAAATCCAGCAAAGGAGCAGCACTTGACTTCATTATACCAGATCATGAAACCGTCGATTTTTAGCCCTAAAACGCAAAGTCATCGGTCCCCCCATTTCAAAATAACGGGTACCTCTTTTAACAATTTCTAAATGCAAAAAATCACTACTAACTAGCAAGTTAGTGATAAGAGACAACCCATCACCAATGGCACCAACTACAAAAGTAATGTCCACTCCACTTGGTCCCATTCTACTTTTTATCCACAAAAGGCAAAAGTAGAAACCGAATTCATAAGCTTATCAGGCCTTGACAATTACGTAAACTAGATCGAAAAAATAATTCCTGAACTTGCTTCCACGCTCACATCTTTGTAACGCGACTACACTTGTCAAAGGGTCTAAACTTGACGGGAAGTTATTTCCAGTTAAGTTTGACGAGGTCAAAACCCTGCAAAGTCTAAACGAACTACGAAACTGGTAACTGAAGCAAAATTCGCCAACACCGTCGATAACTAGATGCACATTTAACGCACAGGCGACATCGTTCCATTGACATATCCACGTTATCTTGGCGGGACGCACCAAGTTTGACTTGACGGTAAGCATTGAGGCGCAGAGGTGTGTTTTTGAGTGTGTGATTCGAAGCCTTTATGAGGATAATATGTGCAATAAAACAATTAAGCAAACAAATATATAGATAAGTCCTAAACAATCCCAAGCATGGCAGCTTTTCCCATTCCACACCTTATTATATATAATCATCATTGTCGCCTAGACGCCCAAGAGATCGTAGATATCGTCGTCCGCGGTCTTTTCTACCGCCTCTTTATGTGGCTCTATTGTACTAGCCGCTGCTGTCGCCGCTGATCGACGTTTCCGTTGAATCTGTTCTCGCAGGGCTAGCAGTTTTGCCGAGGCTGCAGGCTGTGGCTGCGGTGAAGACGATTGAGGTTGTGCATGTGGTGGCGGTCGTGAGGCCGGAGTGATAACTCCCATCATCAATTGACTTATCCTTGTATCCAAATCCACTTGTTGGGGCCGCACGAATCGGGGTGGAGGCGGTGGAGGGGGTGGTGGCGGTACAGCGCCCGAATTAACGCCTAGACGACTTGCCACCTCGTCCACACGTGACAAAACATCTTTCGCGGTTTCTTCCGTCCGCCTACGAGATGATG